CATAAACATGACACTACCCCCGGGGTTTACACAGACGAGCCGGCGAAGCAAGAAGAGCGCCAGAAGAAAGGGCCCTAGCCGGCGGGGCCCAGCCAGGACAAAAGGAGGTCCCACAAAGCGCCTACACCGGCCGCATTTGCGGTCGGGGTAGACGACGGATGGGGCCCACCTACGAAGGCTGTCCAGGCCTACACGAGATGAGGCAGGATAAAGAGGGATAATCCCCCTCGATCCCAAATCATTGAGGCCAATTTCTAGCCATGGAATAATGGCGTGTTCATGTTGGAACAGCTAAAATGCGTAAAACGTCGGCTTTGACTCCATCCATATACTATTAAATCTATGGCTGTTGTGGCCAGTCTAACAGCGTTTTCCATTCCTTTGCAGTTTGCACTTGTGCGTCAAAAACCCAGCCCAACTAGTATATTCTCTGGCCTAGTCACAAAACATATAATAGAACTAATATTCCAGTCTGTTTTGTGGTTGTGGAGTGGATGTTTTGTGTTGTGTGTGACTTGACTTGTGGCTACCTTTTTGTGTGTTGTATATAGGTCAAAGAACTAAAATTAATTTGAGTAAGGTTTAATAACAAAATATAAATTATTTGTTATTAAGTGGAATAAATTTATTATGTCAGAAATAATTACTGTATCTTCCTCTGATGAAGAAGATGTCCAACCACCTCCTAGAAAGGTAATTAACCGAACTATGTTATTCTAATCTTGCTACAAACTTTTTCTTTCAGAAAATCAAACCCATGTTAGTTGAAGAAGTATCTGTTATTTCAAAATCTAATGGAAAGAATACTTCAGACATTGTTGTTCTTTCAGATGATGATACTGAGGGCAATATTAATAAAATGTCTGTTATTCAAGCACATTTGAAATTTCCTACAGATGTGAATCCTATCGCAATATCTGATCAAAATGGAATTTTGAAAATTGATCCTCAGTTTAAAGAATCTATAATGGTTGAGGATGAAGAGAATGGAGAAAAAGATGGCATAACAATTGATGAAAATAGTTCAGGGGATTCATCAGGAAAAGAAAATAAATCACAAAATGATATACCAAAGAATAATGAATTTAATGAACCTACAACCACTGCTGAAATTGCAACAGAAGACAAATTATTAGAAAATTTTTTGAAAGTGTGTGAAAAAAGCATTGTCAATTCTCAATATGAACATTTAAAAGATAAACAGTTTTCAATATTAAGAAAATATTATAAGAAATGTGGTGCAAAGTTAAATGAATCTTCAAACTTTTTAAAATTAATGGAGGAGAATATGATTAGAGCCGAAAAATCACCAGCTACAGCAGTTATCAGTTTTAATGAAATATTTCAGTACGTAAAAGAAGTTGTTGATACAGAAAGTATAGAAGTATCGGAAGAACATAGAATAAAATTAAAAAAACTCGAGAAGGCAATTAAGTTATTAGTGATGCGAATAAAACAATTAGAAAACTCTGAATTAGATTTTGATGATGAGGAGGACTCGACATATTTACAGTTAGATAGGTAGTTATTTGATGAGATGATTATCTTATATGATAATGTCTAATACATTTCACTTATAGCAGATGCTTTTTGTCATTATCCAATGCTCTAAAAATACATAAGGTGTTCTACTTAATCTTTCGGTTGATAACACTAGAGAAACCAAAGCAATAATAAAATGTAGATCTGTCATGTATCTACGTAAACATGTTCTACTTTAATCTATATCCCCCTAGTTTCAAATTGTATTGTATCAAAATGTATATGCCTTATCTCATTCATACTGTATATTTTAAAGAATATTGTACATTATCGGTGTATTTGAAACTGATTAGAACTCCTGAACCTTTTCAAAAATTCATAAGTAATTTTTACAATTTTGGTTAGTTATACACATAAAGCTGTATATTTTCAAGCTTTAGTTACTACTAAGTAATGTGTGTTGAATGATTTATATTTCAGATATATAAATAGATTAAATAAAGTCTATGCAAAGTATTGTGAACTTTTAAAGAAGAATCCATATAGTGGTCGTATTACATATGAAAAACTGGACTTTGTAGACTCGGAGTTTAATGAAATTAACAGAGCCATAAGTAAGAAATATAAGAATAATGAGAAATTTCCCAGCTATTACGAAATGGAAGAATACATAAGAAAAGTTGTAAATGATTATAATCTGAATTTGTCAGAAACTAAAATAAAGACGGAGAGTAAGTAAAAAATATTTTTATTAAGTATTTTTATGTATCATAACTAAATACTAGGACTGTGAATTAATTTTGAGGGATTTACAATAGATGGCGTAGCTTATGCTATATCGCATCGGACATTTCTGTAACTATATTCATTAGTGATGGGAATAATCGAATGAATTAAATAATCGAGAGGTTACCGTTCGAATTAATTTTATAATCGAATGATCATTCGAATGAATAATCGAAAGTTCACTTTGAAAATTTCCGGTCTATCCCAAATCATATGTGAAACATGTTGACGTTAGGTAAATGAATGACTGTCGCGGATTGGGGCATTTCTTCAAAATTTCTTCGTTGCCAGTTGAGTGATTCAGCAGCATGTGTTTAAAATGAGTAGTTGCCGCCTAAAGAGGTCCATTGTTTGGGATTTTTTTGAAAAAAAAAATATATAGAAAACATAATTTGGTATTATTTTCATTCATATGAATTTTTATCCCCGCTAAATAAAGCTCTAACCCCCCGCGATGCCACTCGTAAAATTCCTGCATACCTTTTTTCTTGTATGTCGGTGCGGTGATATTCGATTGTCTCATCTATCCTCTCGGCCGTCTTATCTCGAGATGTTGTAGCTCGTTAGAGCGTTGGAACAATCGAAACATCTGCGCACTCACTCGAGTAGTGCAGGTATTAGTAACGCTGTGGCCACTGTCATTCGTATCCGAATAATCGAATGATTCTATATGACCACTCGAGATATCTCGAGAGATTTTCATAATCGATATAATCGATAATTTTCATTTGAGTAGTCCCATCACTAATATTCATGTCAAAACACTGTCATTAGACTTTACTTTTACTATGCAAGGTGAATTTGCTGAATCGTTGAATGTTGATTGCACAACGGTTTCCAAACGTTTAAATGCACTCCGTATGATTCAAAAGCAAGAAAATTGGATAACATACGAATTGAAACCGAGGCAATTTTTCACATGTGAACAATTGTTTCAACAGCATAATAGAAAGGATTTTTTGGGGTTTGCCTGGTCTTGCATCAACATCGACGGCAAAGCTGAGTATTCATGGTTCGAAGCTCATGCTCTGTATTTGGTGGGACCAACTTGGTGTCGTGTACTATGAGCTGCTTCGACCGAATGAAACATCACTGGTTAACGCTACCGAACACAATTGATACGTTTCAGCCCTGCATTGAAGGAAAATCTAGCAAAGACACAATAAAGTTATTTTTCAACATGACAATGTTTGATCACATATTGCTCATACAGTCAAAAAATACTTAAGAAACTCAGTGGGGAATGCTTTACCCCACCCTCCATATTCACCAAATATTGCTCCATCGGTTTACTGCTTGTTCCAATCCATGGAACACCTGGCTAAGCAGCATTTGCAATCTCACGAAGATACCAAAAATTGGATTGATTATTGGATAGCATCAAAAGATTAGTTGTTCTTTCGACACGGAATCTATATCAGTGGCGGCTCGTAGTATCTTTAGCAGATTAGGCTTGAAATGAAAAACTTTAAACCGTCGCTTTGTAATCAAACGGGCATATTTCCTCACCACCCTTATGTAGCGCAATGGGCGCGCTACATTGAGTGTGTTGTTCTCTTAGTAGGTACCTAATGAGTTGCATATGAAACTAGATTTGTATGAAAATTTCTTAAATAATATTAATATTAATTATATGATGTAAAATAAAAAAACAAAACAAAACTTTTGCAATACTATCAAAATCTGCAAAATCCCTCGAAATTAATTCACAGCAGCTAGTATATAAAATAAAAAGTAATTATTATCAGTATTATTCGTTTCATGGATTTTACTAGTGAAGAAAAATATAATATGAATTAATTTTTTTTAGGTGTTCGCTGTTTTAAAAAATTAGGAGAGCTTCTACAAAATAGAAGAAAAAAAGAACTATATGATGCTCATTATTTATATATTAGGGATTCTGAAGACCCTGCCAATGTAGATAAGTCACTTGATTCTACTTTAAGGCACAATTTTAATGAGGGGCAAGTTAAAATAGAAAAAATTTGTGAGGAGTATGTATATTATGTTGATGATTTAACATATTTATATTTCATTATATAAATTTTAGATTTAGAATTAAGGAGGAACATGGTGAAGAGGCGGTGTTGAGTGAAGAAGATTCTGATAAAAGTGAAGAAGATAGTGAAAATGAAGAAAATAGTAATAACTAACAGTTCTCTTATTAATTTATATGCAGTTTGAAGAACTTAACAATTTATTAATTCACATTGAATAAAAACTTGTAATGGTAACATTTTTCTGTTAAGTCTTCTGTACATTATGGAAAACAAGTGTTTTATTGTAAAATATACTTTATTTTTCATATTTTTAGTAAGTAATCTATAATTGTGGATTTATTGTCTATAGTAAAAAAATTAAAAAAGATTTTACATTATAAATATACTAAATTATTTTTACACATAAACGCAAGCCTCATTTTTAGATGATTTTAGCTGCTCGATTTGTTGATTGCGGGTGAAAATTCTAAGATCGTTTTTAAATGGAATGGGACTTGTATAACAGTATGTTTATCATAATTTGTTACGACAGCTTTATAACTTTGGTTCTCTCTTTCTATTTCAATTCTAAAATCAACTCTATGATTAAACTTTTTTCTATTTGTTGTCCTCTCATGTCTTACAAAAATTAGTAACACTTGAAGGCTTTTAATCACATTGTATAATATTTCAAACATTTTTAATGAATGGTGATAGTAGGTTGGTGTATCAGACAAATTGTAGGAAGATATCCAAAAATGGGCTGCTATATTATCAATGACTACAAGGTTAACATTTTCATTACACTGTATAATTTTTTCTACATAGTAAAAAGTTACCTCCAGTTCTTCCAAACTGTAGCAGTTAAAGATTATTAAATTTTTTAATGCGTTCTGTATAACAACTTTTTTGGAATCGGTTACATTGTATTTATTAAGGAGGGTTTCGATTACTTTTATAATTTTTAATATGCTTATTTGAAATTCAGTAATGATTAAAACAGCAGCTGAATCCTTCCATTCTTTGTTGTACTTCTTTGGTAATATGCATTTTACTATGAAATCAATCAGCAAATCATTTTTATCAATTTTGGGATCTCCGGTAATTTCAATAACCTGATTAGGACACGGGCCTCCTTCTGGAAAAAGATCTGAATTGATGTCTTCTAAAAATGATTTTCGATTTACTCTTGAAAAAAGCTGTACCCCAGATTCAATTTTGCTACAGTGCATTTTGAAAACTATAAACAAATAATCATGCATAACTATCTTGCAGAAAAGCAAAAAAAAAATTGATAGCACCGATTTATTAAATATATCAAAAATTTGTTTTAGATAAAATAAACGAGTCCAAATACAAAAGAAAAAGATTTTCATTTTAATATTAATACATAAACATAACATGTAGAAACATTCAAATCTATACTAACAGTGATGTGATATGATATACAGGGTGTCTCATAATTAGCTGCCAACCCTGAACAGGCCGATTCTATGATCAAAACTATTTTTTTCGCTTAGAATTATTAAATTGGCAATCGGGTTGACAATATTTTGACATAAGAATACCTTGATAATTTTGTTTAAATTACTATGAAATTGACCAAAGTGGGATTAATTCAAGAGCGATTTTCTCAGAAACCGTTAAAGATAACAATTTGAAACAAGAGTACCATTTTAACGTAAAACAGTTCGGGAAAACTGAATTTGCTGTCCAATTTGTTAAAAAGTCAAAGATGAAAAAGTTACACACGCAAAGTACCAAGGGCCCCCCGTACCCACCCCAATGGACCTTGTGGAAAAAATGGATTAGTCCATCAAATTGCTCATCAAAATTTAGCTGTGTATACCAAATTTCATTCATTTATCACAACGCGATTGAGAGATATTGCAAAAAAATGATTTCCATTCCCCCCTCTTCAATGGGTCCCTGTGCCCTTAGGAAGCATTTCCGGACCCATGTTCATATGAACTTTTTTACTTAGTTTTGATCATAGAATCGGTCTGTTCAGGGTTGGCAGCTAATTATGAGACACCCTGTATTACTTACTCGTTTTAGCGGCAAAATTATAGTGACCAAAGATTCCGTTTTATATCATTTGCACTTAAAATATACAGAGAACCATAGCACGTAAAACTAAGCTTTAGTAAATAGAAAAAAATTTTCTACTTTTTCACAAACATAACCTAAATCAGTAAAATGCATAGACCTTATAAACAACTACGTTAAATGGCCATCTAGGATGGCCATGCAGTTGAGGTGGGCAAGATCCAAGGTCACTAAAGAATCACTTGTGTGAAATTCGTGAACGAAGTAGGTCGCCATTATTCAATGGCTAACCGTATCGAAGGCCTTTGCGACGTCCAGGAAGACAGCACCAGTGTACTGTCCTCTGTTGTAGGCCGCCGTGATGTGCTCGGTAAGGCGAAGGATTTGGAGTTCAAGCAAATAACCAATTTTATTTTACATATAATGAGTTGAGTAGATATATCGGGAAGGTACAGATAGTATACTAACCTAAAAATGTCCGCGATAATTTTTAAGATGCAAGCGCACCAAGCGGCGAAAGCGGTAAGCTTCGAGACAAGGTAATTTGACATTATCGTTCGCCATTATTCCATGGCTAGAAATTGGCCTCAATGATTTGGGATCGAGAGGGATCATCCCTCTTTATCCTGCCTCATCTCGTGTAGGCCTGGACAGCCTTCGTAGGTGGGCCCCATCCGTCGTCTACCCCTACCGCAAATGCGGCCGGTGTAGGCGCTTTGTGGGACCTCCTTTTGTCCTGGCTGGGCCCCGCCGGCTAGGGCCCTTACTTCGGGCGCTCTTCTATCCATGAACTGAACAATAATAGTTCGACAATTTATTCTTTTTGTCCATAACCCTAGATAATGTCCATAACTGCTGAAATTTTCCGGACACTATTTTTTTAATATAAAAGTGTTTAAAAGCAAACACTATACACAGTTTTAAATAAAATACAAAACGGAATGTCGCACATAAGAAATGTTTACCTTGTTTCACAAGTTTCACATGTCACCGCCAGAGGGCGAGCTCTTAGCTGCATTCGGGGATAGTCTCCATCTTATCTCTACAGCTACACTCGTTGTCAGTGTTGCCAGATGGGAGGACATTACACCTTTTAGGGAGTTTTTTCACATAAAAGGGGTAAAAGGGTTTTTTGTGTAGAACAGAGGACATTTTATCATCCCAATGATTTACATTATCCACACTCTCGCACGGCTTTACGTAAATGTTGGTGATCACTGATCAGTGATCAGTAAAACGTCCTTTAATTCGTTCTGGTGACCAGCTATTTATTATGAAATTAACTTTAATCATTGAGGCCAATTTCTAGCCATGGAACTGAAAGTGTAGTGCAAGGAGCAAATTCTACCTGCCTTTATTAAGGCTACC